ATCTGACTTCAGTTGTAAGCAAACATGTAAGTCATTATTTCATTTCAATGTGTACCACTTCAGAAGCTTTTAACTGATACGTGCTGTAGTCTCCAAGTCTCCATAGAAAGAGCAAGAATATGTTTGTTTTCATAACACTTTAAACATCCAAGGAGATAAAATGAATTTTTTTAATACTAACCCGATAGGTTTTTTTCCTGAACAGTGACAGGGTACAGTGAATGATTAATTTTTCCTCTTCTTGCTGCAAAGTGTAAGAATGCCAGGCACCAAATATGGGAACCCCCCACCTCTGGAAGATCTCTTAACGGCATGTTGAAATGCTTTGCTAAAAGCCTGTCTTGAGACAGCAGTGTGTTCCAGGTAAACAAACAAGGTAAACTGTTAAATCCTTTAAGATGATGGGAAGGTGGGGATGCCTCTGTAGCAGGGTAGTCTTATTTAATGGAAAAAGTCCGTCTACCAAGTATGCTCGAAGTCAAAAATTCCAGTGTAACTTGCGAGGAATGATGAATGAAGGTACAAGGAATAGTTTGCATCTCCCATTTATGCTGTTTCAGATTCTTGGAATCTAATTCATAGCTATGAGTTGAGAGAGTTTATCCAGGTCCTGAGGGAGCAGCTTCTGCAAGGCGTACTGGAGAGCATGCTCGCAACTTGCATCTCTTCCTTTTTAGGCTCGTTTTATAGAGATTCTGTTACCTGAAATGGACCAGTGGGAACATCGCTGCCAGTGCTTTCCTGTTGCAGGGAAGAGTGGTGCTCAGGACAAAGAACAGGAATGGGAAGCTCTGCAGCTGATAGCAACATTTCTGCTACTGCCAAGGGTGCAAGTCTGCTGTACTGGGGCGGGGGACTCTGTTAATGTCTGTCTGCGGCAGGTTTAAAGAGCCTGCTTGAGTACTGTTTACATGTTGGTAGTATCCTTTAGGAGGGAAGCGAATAAATATGAATGCAGCATTTGAGAGGTGTTTGGAGGTAGTGCAAATTACTGTTTTGCTAAAAATGTAGTGTTGTGTTGGATTTCTGGAGGTTAAGTGGCAGTCTAGCTCGTTAGTGTGTTATGTGGACTCACTGGTTGGGGTATAAAGCTGTGTGGACACATCCTCAGGCCCTTTCCCTTTGTGCTGGATTTATCTCCCGACTGATGCAGTTTGACAAGACTGACTTTAATCTTTACTACTGATTTTTGGGTTATCATTGTGTCATAAATGTGTGTAGTCTTGGCAGATACAGATAGGAAAAGGACAATGTTAGTTTTCAGTATTGTAGGGTGCATATCCAGTAAAGAGGGAGGAGCTGTGTATGCTTGAGCTGTGACTGAATTTGGCTTCCAATAAGATTACAGTAGAATAACTTAAAATTGTAGAATGCAGAGCTATGTGAATGACTGTCACGAATTATTTTGGAGGTAAACGGGGAAAGAATAGAAAAAGGGGAGAAGAGAAGAAGGGAATATCGTGATTGGTTTCATATGTAACTCTGGTGTTAAAAGAAAACGTGAAATTTGTGAATGTCCGAAGACACGATGCTGTTCTTACTGTGGTGCTGGTGGTTTTTCTATGCACTATTTGTAACTGTGCCCTTTGGAACTCTCAACTCATAGGTTGCAGAACAATGAATTGCTAATTGCACCAATTAAGTAAGAAAACAACACTTAGATACATGTGTTTTGTAAATACGTGACAGGAAGCCAGAAATACCCCGTAACTTCTTGATGGATCACTTCCTTTTAATTATTCTTTACATTATATTAATTACCTGAAATAACAAGCTAATGAATAGATGGTTGGTAATCATTTGTACTGAGCAGCCCCACCTTTCATGCACAATTCAGTTTTGTACCCAGAATGTGAAGGCTTATGCACAATACACAAAAAATAACACTGAGTAATATGAAAATTAAACTATGAATTTAAAAGAAAAGTCTACATAAAAGCATTAAGTTTTCTAGTGTCTTGCATTCTCTGTCTTTACATTGTAGCTATGAATGTGTTAAAGTTCATAACTTTGGCACAGAGTAATCTAATAATTCATCAGGCCACTTGCAGAGCGTCAGGATTTTTAGGTATATATAAAGCCTGTCTGTAAATTTTCTGATTTCTTTTTTTTTCAACAGACCTGCTGGCTTACGTTTCCACACCAAATACAGAGGTCTTCTGGAGGAGTAGGAATTCAACACTGCAACATGCTTTATATAATTCAGAAATTTAAAAAATAAAATTCTTCAGTGTTTCAGTCTACTTGTAGCCTTTCACATTGGTGTTGCCTCGCTGTGCAGGACTTTGAAAGCAGCTGTATTAACAAAATATACAGCAGAAAAAGAACAAAAGTACCAGAATTTAAAAAAAAAAAAAAAAAAAGAGAAAAGAAGGTGGCAGTGTCATGACCAAATAAGTTGGCACAGGAGCATTGTCGTCAGTACGTATGAAGGCCCATAGCATTAAAAGGAAAGATCATCTGAACCGTCTTCCTGTATCTATCAGTAATTAGCAATTCTTTACGTGGTCACCATTTAATTTTATCTAGTGAATTATCTTTATTGCTTGGGGTTAAAGTTTTTAGACAATGAGAAAAGAAATGGCACGCCTTGAAAAAGAAACATTTTCCTCTTGGGGCTGGGCCTACATAAAGGTGAGGTGATCCCACAGTAAGTCTGTAGTAAGAAATGGCAGGGTTTACGTGGCAGGCATGCTGAACATTGTTTCTCAGGACTTCCAAGCGAGGACTGGCATCTAGTTTGGTTCCTGCTCTATTGTTGTAAGCATGCCTGTTTTAAAATGCATCCAGTCCTCCTCCATCAGACAAGTTGGTGAACCAGGAAGTGGCACAGAGACAAGTGGTTGTAACTGTGCAAAATCTGGTGGTATAGTAAATGCAGAACAGCAGAGCTGGATTCCTTGTTGCACTGCAGTCAGGGTGATTGAATGTTGGAACAGGTTGCCTGGGGAGGCTGTGGAATCTCCGTTATTGGAGATGTCCAAGACTCAATTGAACGTGGTCCTGTGCAACGTGATGTAATTAGACGTGCTTTGAGCCAGGGTTGTGCTTGATGGCCTCCAGGGGTCCCTTCCAACCTGAATTATTATTCGATGCCATGAATGGGCAGTTTCTACCTGGGAGTTAGTGTGCCACAGAATCAAGTGTCTTCCTGCTGGCTATGCCCATGGAGTACATAACCCCCCACGAGGGAGTTTCTGCCCTCCAAGTGGAACGCAAGCTCCTTACAGGGTTCCTGTTTTTTCCACAAACTTGCAAATTACTGGTTTTAATCTGAAACTTTAACACCCACATAATTTAGTACATTTCATAGACAGCAAGAGGCTTTTGTTTGTATGAACTTTTAGATTTGTAATGTGAGAAAAATGCATGTGCCTGCTGAGGGAATGCATACGTCTTTGTTCCCTGTCGCTTCTGTTCTGCTGCACCGAGAGTGGCTGAGACTGGCTTGAAGTCTGGAAAATAACTGTAAAAACAAAAGTAGGGAATGGAGAGTATGTTTGTGCTTATCCTTTCTAGTTGTTGCAATATAAAATCCGCTCGTTTGGCAGATGAAATGAAAGGTGCCCCCCTTCACACACGCTAATTGCCAGCTCTCTAAACCTCCCAGGAATTTCCATTTTCTTTAGCTCATGTCGTCCTCCGCAGTGGAGGTTTTGTAATTGGAATTTAGTTAAAGTTTTGTCATATCTGTGAGCCAGAACAACACTTCCCTTGTTCTACATTTTTGCTTGTGTAGTTCAGAGAGCAGTAGGGAATAGTAACAATTTGCGTTGATTAGAATTCTGTCAGTGCATGTATGACTGCCACATAAATTGCCTCTTCTCAGTAGCTTGTGGGAGTCTAGCAGGGCACTCGGATCCTGCGGTATGAGGTGCCGTGCGTGGAGTGCAAGACGGGTTGAGATTGCAGTGTCTTTGAGGGGGGGACTCTTTCCTGGCTAGAGTAACTTTTAATGGTGTTTTTTGGTTTGGTTTTTTTTATATGTTTGTTTGGGGTTTTTTGAATGGTTAATCCATTAGCTTTTCTTAATTTCTTGTTATAGAAAGTCATGGTCAGGAATGCATCCATAAACTTCAATAAAAGTAAATTTTTTTTTTTTAGTAATGGGAAATTCTGAACAGCCCTAACCATATTGGCAAGGGCATGAAACTGAATTGATGAGTATATTTTTGTTGACAGGTTATTAACAGAAATTACAATCAAGCTGGACTTAGGACTATACTAAGAACACTATTTTTCTAAGCTGATACCAAACACCTTTATCTGAGTATGCGGTAACTTCAGTTGATTTTATTGTGCATAACTTGCTGTATTATGAGAGGTAAATAATTTGCTGCTTATTTCACTGTGGAGTACCACATCGTCTTCCTTCCATTGAGAAATATATGATAATCTTACAAATCTTGTTTTCTTGAGATTAAAGTACATTTCTTTTAGTAGAGGGATAGGAAAGATAAAGGAGGCAATATAAATGTCTTCAGATGTCTTCAATTTTTTTCCAGACACCTGCAACAAATACACGGGATTTTTCAACTTCCTTTATGTTTAGTTTCTGTAGGCTAGAACTTGTTGGACTTTGGTCTTTTGAGGACTTCTACTAATTATAGCGGAGTACACAAAATGATTAAAAACAGATTTTGCAGATTAGAACAGCCGTGCAAATCTTGTTGAGAGTTACTTTATTCAGAAACTACAGTTGCGCAAGGCAGTCTGCAAAATGGAAGATATTTGGAAGAATTTTTGGCATATGCTTTACGTGTACCCTGAAGTGCTCTGAAACTTACTGCAAATGAATGAAGAGATTGTGCGGTCAGGTTGGTCTCCTGTCCGTCTTGTACGGAGCGCTGCCCCCGTAAGATTTCACACACTGGGGGCAACCACAGGGACTGATGCCCAAACGAAGAGATGAGGCATAACTTCCCCTCAAATCTTGTGTTCTAGAGCAGGGTTTTGGGGTGGATTTCCCTGCCTGCTTCCTGCGCACCCTGCCAGAGGAGATGGCAGCACTGTGGAAGTGTGAGAGCGGATGGAAGCGCCTGTGGCGGTTTGCTGGGGCCCTTGCCTCTCCTCGGCCCCGCTGCTCTCTCTGCAGCCCTCCGTGTGCGGAGCAGCCCTTGCTGTGGCGTAAAGCCCAGGATAATAAATCCTGCAGAGCTTGTTAGCCTGGGCTTCGCTCTTCTCGGGGCTTTGCCTTTGAAGACATGCCTCAGCAGTTACAGGCTGATGCTTGGGGGGGGGCTGCTGTAATTTCCCTTTTTTTAAGAAGTATGTTTTCACACACAAAGATGGTAAAGTATTCTGGCACTTTCTTGATGAAGTGTGTGCCTAGGCTGCATTTCAGACTTGTTTCCTGCAGTGGTGGCAACTGTATAGCATGCATTCAGCTTGTAGTTAATTTTACATGTAGATGTTTCTTATCTGCAGGACAGTTACTAGGAAACACATGCAAAAATGGAAGATAACTGTGCTTCTATTTGTTACAAGTCTGTTGTTTCTTTTAAATTTTTATTAGGGCTTCAGTTTGCAGCAGAAAGCCCTGCCCTCTCAAACCCTGGGGGGTGGAAGTGCTGGTCAGGCGAGATCCTTTGTATTTTTTTTTTTTTTTGGTCAGCAGTTAATTGCTATTTGTATTTTTATCTTTATAATTCATAACTAATAGACCACTGGATTAAAGAGGATAGTTAAGACTGTATTAGTTTAATTTTACTGATGTATTGACAAATTTCATGTATAACTGGGAAAGTCACAGGCTTAAAGTTGTTCTCTTTCATGATTTTGTCCTGTCCCCCACTTCTTCCTCAACAAATTATTTGATGCCTGTATGTGTAGCTTGCCAGTGCTGGTAAGAAACCTTGAAATCTTTGAATAGTAAAGTTATGTAAAGATAAATAATGCTTTCTTAAATCTATCTTTGCTGATGAGTGTTTTCTCTCTTTATGGAAATACTTGAGTGTGTGTTAAATTCTGAAAACAAAATATAGCTCTGAAGTGTATGCTTAGGTGTTTTCCTGATTTGACTCCCAAAGTGACCAATATGATGCTTTTCTTAAAGCCAGGGCTGCTCTGCTGCTGTTGCTTTGTGACCTGTGGTGATTTGGAAAAGTCAAATGTTGAATTTTCTCTCAACAGAAAATTTTTAAAGCTGGAGATACTAACCAGGATGGACAGCTTGATTTTGAAGAATTTATGCAGTATCTTAAAGATCATGAGAAAAAGATGAAACTGGCATTTAAGAGCCTGGACAAAAACAATGATGGTATGCCTTGATTTATTTTACTTGTTCAAACATTGTTTGAAGAAACTTACCTTCATTTATATTCTTTGTCTAAACTGGAGACAAAAAGTTGTGAATATGGAACCTCTATTTCTTTTCCTTAATAGGATCATAATTATAGTTTACTATAGATTGAAATAATAAATTATTATAGTCTTTTTTTCTTTTTATTATCTTCCAGGTCCATTGATCTGGGGCTCTTTGTTCCCCAGATGGAGAAACTATAAGGAAGTTTCTAAGTATTAAAGATAAAATAGTTTTTAACTCACTGAATGTTTGCATCTCATTTGGTTGCATGATTTTAATGTACTACCTTCTCTCAGTCCTTGTAGTAAAATACATCATCTGTGTTTAAACTGATATTAAATTATCTTTGCTATTATGTAGGTGTTACAATGGAACTTAGTGAGCTCCAAGGTGCTAAGTGTATTAAACTCCATGTTTTAAATATGTATCATCTTTCTTTTAATGTTTCAAGGAAAAATTGAAGCATCAGAAGTTGTACAGTCCCTCAAGATACTGGGTATAAGCATTTCAGAAAAACAGGCAGAAAAGATTCTGCAAAGGTCGGGAATTATTATTTCTTAAAGTATTTTAAGCTTCTTTGTATTTTTAATTACTATATTTTTATAATTCAGAGAACAGGATAAATGGGATTATAACTTTGAAAGGTGTTGGTACCTTCAGTGATGCCTTTATAGGAATTGATTAATATTCCATCTGTTCTTGGGTGATAGTAATTCTAGTCACTATTTGAGCATCTAGTTCTGGGAGGCGAATGTTATCTCATTTCCCTGTAAATGTTGTTGATAGACTGAAGTGTTATATTATGTTTTTAAATTGAATATGCCAGATGCACTTGGATAAGAAAACCATAGTATTGAAAGGCCATGGCAGATTCAGCCCTGAAGTCTCCATATGGAATTTACAGTCAGTTGTCACTGATTTGAAGGCCAATATTAAAAAAAAAAAAGGGGGGGGGGGGGGGGCAACAAAACAGAACAAAAAAACATCCCTGCTACTGTTTCCTTATCTATTTTTGTTCAATTTCTTTTCAGTATTGATGCTGATGGGACAATGACAGTAGACTGGAATGAGTGGAGAGATCACTTTATGTTTAACCCAGCTACAGACATTGAGGAAATAATTCGATATTGGAAACATTCCACTGTAAGTTCAACTTTTCTTCTAACTTAATGCAGCTCTTAGTTCATCTCTGCTGGGTTAATTTGCAATATTGAGTATAACAGCTTCACAGTTGTTATATTTCAAGCATACCTGTATTTAAGATTGTTTGGTTTTCCTTTTCACTTTGTGCTCTCCTGTTTACAAGCAGGATAGTGTGATGTGAGTTTCTTCTGAACAAAGAGCTTCATCTAAACTTTGCCAATAATTATCAGTAATTCTCAGGAAAGAATCCTTTTCTTCCTTTGGAGATAGTCCACAGAAAGATAATAACCACAATATTAAATCTTTTTCTTTTCACATTACAGTACATTCCTATGGTCAGTGCTTTTGATGTGTTGAAACAAATTATAGAAACATTTTAACTGTTTCGTATGTTGAAATTAGTTCAGTATTTGCATTTATATCGCAGTATTATCATTATCATAAAATCACTGGTGTCATTAGTGATGACTATCTGTGCACGTGTTCTCACACTCTTTTGTGCTATAGAATTTCATTTAAGAATGACAGAATGTACAGCAATAGGCTATCCACTGTGCAGATAAATTTTTTTAAGTTACTATTGAATGGAGCTCTTGCCACCTCAGTGACTGACTTTTAAGAACAAATAATAAAGTAAGTAAACCAATAGTAATCCTGTTTGCTAAATATTCTTCCTGTAGATTATTGGAGTAATCCATAAAGTTAGGTAAAGAAAGATTTCTTTGAATATAGTGAGACCATTTATATCTTCAGGGATTAGTCAGCATTTCCATAATAAAAAACAGTTTATGAGATCTGAAAGCTTTGAGTGTTTCACACCGTACAACCTCAATTCAGAAATGCTTGCCAAAAGGGAGTTAGCTCCCTGTTTGCTGAAGAAAACACTTGAAGCACTGCTATGAGATCAGATAGTCCTGGTCCGAGCTTACTTAGTGGGAAAAAAACCCTTTGCTTTAATAAAATGCTTTGTATTACTATTATTAAACATAAGATCTATATTCTTTTTCATTATGGAATGTCATTAGTTACCCCCAAGAAACAATTTTAGAAGTCTCTTGTGATCTTCCAGTGTTGTGGTCAGCTGATGACCCAGTTATCACAGCAGCCAAAATCCAGCTATACGGCAACGCAGCTGGTGTTTCAGATAAGAGCAGATGTGAGACCTCCCATGCCTGGCTGGCATTGACAGCTCTTCCAATTCTGTTTTTATTGTAAAACTTTAATTGCTGTCAGACTCTTCCAAGCAGATAGCTGCATTGGCATAGAGTTATAATTATGAGTTGGTAGCTGTGGCCTTTCTATTATAAACCCCCATCAAATTTCACTTTTTTTCTTAGTTGTGTTTAGGGCTGGGTAGACACAAGGTTTAAACCCTGGTAGATATGCATAATATCCCTAAGAACATTGAATTTATATTTTGAGAGTTCCGACTGATCTTTTGATGACTCCATGTAGTTGAGCAACTGATGACACCTTACTTGGAAACCACGAATATCAGAAAGATGACAGGATTTTTCAATTAATCTGTTCTATGTTCAATATCCAGAATAGTTGGTGCTTGCCCTGTTTGTCCAGTGGCTGTAACTGTAATCTGCATCCCGCAATTCTTGTGTTCCAAATGACTAAGACAGTATTCTGTCTACTTAACAGATAGGGAACGCAGCATAAACTGGGGATGTCGTGTCTACAATTAAAATCAACAGTAGTTTAAAAAAAGAGTTTATCAGTTAACGCGCTTTCTGGTCAGTACTTATCAGTTACTAAAACATTCCTGCCTCTTTATAAGTTTAATTTATGCATAATATTGCCTTTGCATTATCTACAGTGTATTTTTTCTCATATATCATGGTTATAAATTACGTGAAGAGCAGTGAGTATGTTTAAGTGGTATGTGAGATTCCACAGTCCTATGTGATGGACAGCTTTATCGCTAAAGCCTATAGTAATGTTCTCTGATGAAATTGAATGGTAATACAAACATGGACCTCTGAATGAAATTTCAAACTGTTATAGCTGAAGAAAGTCATTAATGTGTCTTTCAGTGTAACTAACGATAAGAAAATTTATAAAGTGTTAGTCAAATTTGTCATTTTGTAAGATAATACACAGCAGCTACCGGAAATAGAATATTCCAATATATCAGCTATAAAAATGCTACTTTTAAATGTTAGGGGGGGTGGGGGGAAGGAGAAATCCCACATATGTGTGAATAAATTACCATGAGAGAGAAATCTCTTGTTAGCGTCCTTAGGAGATTACCAAACTAATCCCAGAAGGCTGTCTGGTGAAAGGTTAGCCGCAACTTATAAGCATTTGAGCTTTAACGTTGGCTGTAAAGGTCTACTAATCATGACAGAATGCCTTTGTTTGGGCTATATTCAAGGCAGAAATTTGTCACAATTTTTAGTGATGATGGTGCAGGCTTTGAAATGGTGGGTCTGTGGTGTTATTACTCATATCTATGTAGAAGTTGTTAAAAGTTGCTATTCATTGAATAGCAATAGCAATCCATAGCAAGTTAGTTATAGAATGTAAATTAGAGCTTTTTTTTATTTTTAACTAGCATTTTATTTACATATTCTCAGGTAGTAGGTTAATTTGGAATTAGAACTGTTGATAAAATTGAGATGATGGAATGAGAGAGTTATTTGCACATCTTTGCTTTGGATTCTAATAGGTGTTGGACATAGGAGATAGTTTGACTGTTCCAGATGAGTTCACAGAGGAAGAGAAAAAGACTGGACAGTGGTGGAGACAGCTGTTGGCAGGAGGCGTGGCTGGTGCTGTCTCTCGAACAGGTACAGCACCGTTAGATCGCCTTAAAGTGATGATGCAGGTAGGTGCAATGTTCAAGAACTTTTTGGTTTCCAGCGTATCACTTCAGTTTTCAGAGAGCTGTTATGGAAAACTGATGGCCAAATACAATATCTAAATTCTGGAGGTCTACTTATGTTTTGACAATTTCCATATTGTGTGTTCATAAAAATTGTCCTTTCCATAGTCACACTGGCAAAAATGTAAACAAAATATTACAGTACTTGTGCCACTAAAATAAGATTTTTTTTTTTCAGTAGTGGATGTGGTTTTGCTAGTTCATATATTTAAGCAATTTAATACTTGGGTGATGAGTTTTACAATCTAATCAGAGCAGTGTTCTTTACTGTGACTTTGGTTTTTTTTAGGTTCATGGTTCAAAATCAAACAAAATGAATATAGCCAGTGGTTTTAAGCAAATGTTGAAAGAAGGTGGTGTCCGATCCCTCTGGAGGGGGAATGGTGTAAATGTTGTGAAAATAGCTCCTGAAACAGCTATTAAGTTCTGGGCTTATGAACAGGTAGGATGATAAATCGGGAATGAAAATAATGGTAAATAAAATACTACATCACTCTCACTGTTCATTATTTGCACTGTTGTATTATATAGGAGTTCTTATCATGGTTGGGGATTTTGTCACAGTAATTTAGAGAGACTTTCAGATTTAAAACAGTCTATTTATTCTGTTAATAGAATACTTGGTATTAGGCAGATTTTGCTATTGTATTATAAGCGGTGTAAATAAACTAAATCTGTCATGCATTTTAAACTGTCCTCCAGTCTGCATAGCTTTATGTGGAGTACTGCATTAATATCTAGTTTGTTGCTTCGAAGTGACAACAACCAAAAACTTAGCACTTTATGCTAGCTGAACTTACACAGGATTCTTTTTAAGTCAAGTATCATGGTGCTATGTAAGATGCCCTCAGCCTGGATTTTGGAGTTATATTTACCTCTGAATAAGCTTTAAGCATCATGTTAAGGCCTAATCCTCCTTTAGAAAATGAACTCCAGTTCTGGTGTAGTTAAATGATCTTTATTTTTCCTCTGTGCGGCTTGCTAGTGCCTCACGTAAGACTAAATGAACATATTGCACGTCTCTGTACAACTATGAAATAAAAGCAACAAAAAATCAAGTAAGCTTTGGGATATTGCAAGACTGAACAGCAGATTTTGATGCCTTAGAGTAACTTCGAGCACAGTATTCCTTACTCTTGCTCTGCCTTTTGGGAGCTGATGGCACATTCTTGCATGATGGCATCTCTGCCTTGAATGAAACAGTATGTACAGCTCTCTAAGTGTCTCTGTGAATGTGCTAATTGATCTTTCATTCTTTGATTGGAGAACTGGATCTGCAAGGGAGTTGGGTTCCTCTTCGTTATCTGAGGGCCATAGTGTGGGTACCCTTGGGTTGGCTGTTTGTAGAATACCTGACAGAACTGTGGGTGACTGAGGTGTTTAATGTAAAGGGTTCTTGCAGGCTGGAATATTTATTGTATTCTTGAGAATCTTTGTCCACAGAGTTGCAGTGAGTATAGTGCTAAACTTGTTGGGTTGGTGAATGTAACTGTACGTACATGAAAAAGTAAGTACAGCTTGAAAAGACACTTTGTACTGTACTCCTGCCTCTCATAATAACTCTTGCTGCTCCTAAAAAGCATGTGATGTTTATTTTATGTGTTTTAACTATACAGTATAAGAAGATACTCACTAAGGATGATGGAAAGTTAGGCACCGTGGAAAGATTTGTATCTGGTTCTTTGGCTGGAGCAACAGCACAAACTTCTATTTATCCCATGGAGGTAAGCAACAGAGAATCTGCTTCCATTGGAGACCGCCAAATGTCTGGTTCACTTCCAAAGTAAAACCCATTTTGCTCTTGAAAGTATGGTAGGAATTCTTCTATATTCCTATATCCTAATTATTTTTACTTTGGACTTCCTTTCAGACTTTCAGTATTAGGCATTTTAGAATATACTATGTTCTAATTGATACTTGTCACTTTTCTATATATTTGGCTGTATAATATTGTCTATAATATTATTTAACTATAAATTTAGTTCAGGGGGGAAAAATATCCAAGAACGCATTTAAAATTAAGTACGTATTCAAGCTATTTTCTAAATTGGGCATAAAACTTTTTCCCACTGTATATAAGCAAGGAATGGTCTTGTCTGTAACCAAACTGATGAAGTTCTGTTGCATTGTGATTGGGAGCTGGGTCTGATGAGGAGATCAGTGAGGAGGGAGAATGTAACAGCTACAGTTGAGGCTGGGTGGATTAACTGTTCTTTCCTCTGTGGGATATATTTCTGTGTGGTACTACATATGTTGCAGTTTAACTAGCGTTAATATATTAACTGCTTTAGCGTAGCTATTTCACATCCTGCTGTTTTTTAAATAGAAGTGGGATGTACTTCCTTTACTGCTGGTTCCCCAGAAAGGTTACCTTCTTGTGCAAATAACTGGAATATATGTTGGGTCTGGGGTTAAACCAATACCGACATCAAGATTTGGAAATAATGGAAAATGTAACCTAAATACCTTTTTCATAGGGAGGGGTGTCAGTAGGAATAGAACTTAGCTGTTTTCATTGCTGCAGTGACAATGATTTCTCTTTAAATAGCATCCTTGCTGCTAGAGGTGCTGAATCACAGCTAGCCTGAGTACAGAGATAGGTTAAGTTACAGAATAACTGAAATGTTAATGTGGATCGTCTGGATTATACTGATCAATGGAGGCAGGTGAACTATTCTACAATAAGATGCTCTGGTCTTCCTAACAAAGATATAATAGTGTCCTAGAAGTGTTTTTTAGGGTGTTTCTAAGAGAAAAGCAAAGTGCCAGGAAAATCCTGAGGAAGCTGCAGTCTTACGAGACTTTAAAGTAGGCCAAATTCTTGCTCAGGAAATTCCCTCTGTGGTTTCTTTTGGATACTGTTATTAATTTCTTTGTCCGAAGATGCTGTATAGACTTACTTGCATTATTAATCAGATGCTGGGTTTCAGTGGTGAGGCACAATCTTTATATCCCTTAACTACCTCTCAAAGGGTCGTGCTTTTTGAAAGATTATTTTCTTAATATGCTTTGCTGTTCCCAGATCAGAAGTGTGATCTGCTAGTATGTTAATGGTCTCACTTGTTCTTTAGCTAATGCTTCTATTAAAAATTGCCCACACTGTTGCCTTCAAGTTGATCAGAAATCTGCCTGTTTTAATCAAGAAAAGAAAGCTAAAATGCAATTTTAAAAGGCTAATAATTTGTAAGCTAGTGTGTGGTAGTATGCATGCTACTCTGCGCTAATGATAAAACCTGAAGAAGCCTCCTGCTAACAAAGCCGTAATAGTAGTCATCACAAAGGAGATTTGAAGTACCAAAATGCAAAGCAGTTCCAGGCAATTGAATAAGCAGAGAGTTACTGTGTGTTCCTGTGTTTATAAAATACATTAATAAATAGGTATGTAATTAAGGCTACTATTTTTTCCACTTTAGGTTTTAAAGACCAGATTGGCTGTGGGTAAAACAGGGCAATATTCGGGGATGTTTGACTGCGCTAAGAAGATCTTAAAAAGAGAAGGTGTAAAGGCCTTCTACAAAGGCTATATTCCTAATATTCTGGGTATAATTCCTTACGCTGGCATTGACCTTGCTGTTTATGAGGTGAGTTTAGACCACTGAACGCGTGTAGCTTTCATTAGTTAATTTACAAAAAGGGTAACTATTATTTAGAATACCTGTATCATTAGTTAGATTTGTAATACACTTGTAGTATTACAGTTGCCTTCAATTTAATATAGATAAATGAGAATTTCCACTAATCTTACTAGACTTTAATGTTTTTGTTTGTTTGCCCCTCCTGGAGGAGTGCCTGTGCCGATGGGCCCTTACGTGCGACAGTACCAAACAAGAAATCTACTCATAAGGCAGGGTTATATAGACCTGGGCAATACAACATGCTTCCATACTCAGATAACCCTGTTGGACTGGAACGTACCTGTTCTATAGCAAATATGGCCTTAAAAACCTGATAGGATACTCATATTTTGTTACCTATCCTGCATTTATGATACTTAATATTTTTTTTTGCCATTTTCTCTGATTTATAATTGGATTATAGTAACCTGAATTCCTTGTATATCTGTGCATATCACCAGAATTCTTTGTGGCTGATACACAGTTGTTGTGAGGTGTTTGAAACACTGCTGTCTTTCCTTTCAAGAGGAACTGGCACCTCTTACACTCATCAGTAACAATGAAAATGTTTTATCTACCTTAGATGCTAGGTGTTGCTTCAAAGTGTGTGAGGTAACTCAGGTGCACATAGGGTTTTTCTGAGTCTAGACAAATCTTTTTGTGACACTGCAGTAGTAATCAGCAGAATTGCTTGAGCAAACGTTTTCAAAGCAGTATGGAAGTTCTTTTCTACAGTTCGCACCCTTGCTTCTGCATGGGGTGACGTGCACAGTTGTGCGAGCTGTTGTTGCACCCTGTGGGGTGCTGAGTTGTGTTCCCCTCCTCCTCCCCCCAAAGTATTAACAGGTCTAGAACATGGGCGCTGTTGCTGCTGCTGGATCTTTTAAGGATTTCTCTTCTAGGCACTAACTACTGTAGGCTGGTTAAAGTCCTTACCCGTGTGCTAAGGTCTTTACCTGTGCACTTTAAAAGTAAGCAGGTCGGACTGGCGTAACTGGTGCTTTTCAGGATTGAGCCCATAAGATTTCTTATGAGTAAAGATGTATTTGTTTACTTTCTTGAATGCAGATCTCATGTCTTATTATTTAATTTTATATCTTGGCAGCTCTTAAAGAGTACCTGGCTAGAACACTATGCATCAAGCTCTGCTAACCCAGGTGTTTTTGTATTGCTGGGATGTGGTACTGTTTCCAGCACATGTGGGCAGTTAGCCAGTTACCCTCTTGCTCTTATCCGAACACGCATGCAGGCTCAAGGTGAGTCCTGTTGTACTGAAAATGTTTCTGTGTCATCACATCAAAATCGTATCATTTGGGATAGCTGTAGCAGAGACGTGGGAATAAGAAAACCCAACTTGGAAAACCCAGGACTTACCTGGAAAAAGTCTTCTTAACGTTGGTCCCTTCTCCCTGTTACCCCCAACGTTGTCCTTCATTGTACTTAATTCAGATGTCACATTTCAGACACTAGTGCTCTGTGTACTCTGAGAGCCATGTTCCATAAGGACTACCAGACATAGAGCTCCTGTCATAGTCTGGGAGCACTTTTCTAAAAGTTAGAATGTTTCCTAAATTTTAGAGGTAAAATGAAACGGACTTGCATCATCCTGTGAAGGTAGACAGCAATGTTTGCTCTGGAGGACATTTCATAAAGCCAGTTTCATAGCTGAGATTTTTGCTTGACAGGTTTGTGCACAGACTAAGGATAGGAGTCTAGATTTCCAAAGGAATGTAGGTGGATGATGCTTTTCAGTGGGATTTAGACACGTGGATATCTCTCAAATGTCTGGGATTGGAGAGATTGCCTCTCTGTGAGGACTCAAGTTTTAATCAATGGCCCTAGAGGTGACAGTAGGCTCACCACCCAGGTGTTTAATACTTGCTTAAGAATGTTAATATTACTACAACTGTTGTATAACACATTATCTTTTTGTTCTAGCCTCAGTGGAAGGAGCTCCACAGCTAAACATGGTCGGTCTCTTTCAAAGAATTATTGCTAATGAGGGAATCCGAGGACTTTATAGGGGCATAGCCCCTAATTTTATGAAAGTGCTTCCAGCTGTCAGCATCAGCTATGTCGTATATGAAAAAATGAAGCAGAATTTGGGAATAGCATGAAATGAAGGAAAAAGGTGAAATGCTTCCAATGTTATTGGAACAGAACAAAAATTATTTCTCAAGTAATCTGCTCTCACAATTAGAGACAGATCTTTGCGGAGAGATGCTGCAACTTCTACTTTTGCCCTGAAGTTGGAAGAAACTTTCTTAAATTCTAGTTCACCATTTCTAAACAGATACCTATATTGCACTTTAAAATGTCACTGAGTTTTTAATAAAAATCAAGAAACTATCTTTAAATCAACAATATGTTTATATTTTCAGGAAATCATGCATATTTTACTCATTGGCTTTTTTTTTTTATTTGTCTTCTCTAAATGTGTATTTGGCTTGGATCAAACCAAAGATAGGAGAAGTTTATACTGTCTTGATACTGAATATATGAAAGTGACTTTTTGTTTTGTCATGCTGCCTATACTCAAGCAATTCACAGGCAACATTTTGCACGCCTAGAAGTAAGCACTTACTATTGTTATTTTTGAAGACTTAATGTTAAGTTCATAAAAAAAAATAGGATCTTAGATACAGACAAAGATGTAATAACACATTAAAATGTAGCCCATCACCTTTATCTTCAGGCTAACCTTTTTTTTTTTTAACTTAAAGAATAAGAGCCTGAGAAATTGCTGTTCCATGGTATCAGAATACCTCAAATGGATTTACACGGTATTTTTGTAATACAATCAGTGATTTTCATAACTTGCTTCACTGGACCTGCTTTTCATTGCACTTGTAAGCACTAGCACCATTAACCATGACAAGCTTTGGGTTACAGCTGTACGTTTTATAGGATGGTAATATACAGGAGCAGAAAAAGCTTGGTTACTAGATCCATGCCATACAAGTGCAAGTTACAGCTTAAAAACGGGGTGGAGGATCCAGTATTAAGCTGATAGTGATTGTAATACAGCCAATAGTGGAGCTCATCATAGCTGCCTTGGGGAGAGAAATGCTTCTCATTTTGGACGCTCCATTCTTTCTCTTACTCAGAGGGCTACAGTCCACCATGTGCTTTTAGCCAGTAGAGGATCGCATCGCTATGTAAAGGTTTTACAGGTTTGTCATGCGAGTTTTTTTTTCTTCTGTGCATGCTGGCTGCGTGTGTGAAACGCAGATAAAATACTGAAGCATTTTGTCCAAGTGACCAAATGGGACTGCTGATCTCGGGTGCCCATCAGATTGATGTTAATGAAGCAAGCAAAGCACGCACACGGAACTTGTTAGTGCTTGAGAAACAGCTCCCCCTCAAAAAAAAGCAGCACTTCCTCAATGTAGGAAGGAGGTATTTCCATGTACAAGTACGTCCAAAGTGACTTCCTTTTTGGGGGAGTGGTGGTGATGCTGCATTTCAGTTGCCTTCAGGCCTGAACACTGAAATAGAGTGACAATTATTGCCGAACTCATTTGTTACTCTTTTTCTGCTTTCTGCAATGTGTGGTGTCTTAATCTTTGTAAATTTGGGATTATCTTTATACTTTTCTTGACCTTCTGAAAGCAACTGCTTTTAGACCACTTCCTGAAATAGGATTACTGAAGGAAGAACTTTGTTCCTTTAAGGTCATTAAGGGTCTCTTTTTAAATTTTTAAATTTTTTTCTTTTTAACAAACAAATAAGAAAGCAAACATGACAAACTGCCTGAACCTCCCTTGTTCCACATACAGAGGACTATTTGGGCCATATTTTTCAAACAGCAATCAGATGTATATCTGTGTTCAGTGCTTCCACGGCTGGTGTTTATTCTCCCTAAACTGATATATAACAACTCCATAAAACTTGTATTATAAAATGATGTTTTATCAGATTTCAGAAAATGGCAGCTTTAGCTGTGTCTTTTGGCCTTCCCTTTAGGGAAACCTTGGACTTTGCACTGTTTTTAAAAAAACAAAAAGTCATTCTATCCAAATCATCCATATGTACAATGCCTTTCTGTTCTGAATGTTTCTTGGTTTTGCCAATGTTCTTGTATCTTTATGGGATTTGTGAGATCAGTTCCAAACTATTTTGTTTGACTGTGACCAATAAGCAAACGTATTGCGTGTGCGCGCGTGTGATGCAGAGATGACTTTAGCAGTGTCTATCTTCTAGACTTGCTCCATTTTGTTTATAGTGTGCAAGTGCCATTATGAGTATTGAAAATTATGGTAATGATGTTTTCAAATGTTGAAAAGATGGGGTCTTTCAAATTTAATTTTTCATTATGAGCCTTTATGATGACTGTGTTCAATTGTGTATTCTTTGCCTCTTAAAGATATGTTTACCTTTTTAGCTCTAAAACTACCAGTTTCTAATAAATGTTTGTTTCCTTATCTGGCTGGAGTGTGCTGATGTTTTTTTCATGGCCCGATAGACAGATGACACTTCTCTATTGCATTATATGCGTAATACTCAATGTAAAAATTGAAGGTAATTTATCTAAAAATAAGTTTGAGACTAGCCTACGCTTTGCTATTACATTGCTATTTTAAAACCTAGTTTGAGATTAGTCAATTGTCATCCTGTTCAAAACTCTGGCTTGTCTCATCGCTCACATAATGTTTAATATTTTTGCTTGTTCATTGAACAGTATTACACCATGATTTGCTTCTGTGTATGCTGCGTGACAGAACTCTTAATAACAAGGACAAACATATTTGCTTCCGTTCTTAATGTTTACTTTGCTTTGATGTTAACCTTACTTGCTAGTCAAAGGATCGATATAAAATCTTTTCAAGGTAATTGACTTAATGTACTCTGCATGTGTAGCAGGGCTATCCTATTAAAAGCATGCTCAGTAGCCAACTTTAACAACTCATGAGTTTTTCACACCAATCCTTTGAATGTTAAAGGTAATTGTAAACAAATTAGGGAGGCTTTTCTTGTCTCTGATTTCCTGCAAGTACAGTTATTGTAACATAAGATTTAGAAGTTTCCTTTTAAATAACGGAAGAAGTAGATGCTTGGCGTGCGATTCCTGACTCAATGAACAATCTGACATTCAATTCTACTTGAGGCAAGGATGCTTTTAACTGGAAATTCTCTGCAATCGGAAAGGCTGGGCTGTGAATGATCTCTCTCACAGTGATGGTAAGGTGTGCTCTCAAAGATGTCTGAGTTAGATGGTCCCCCCACCCCTTCCAAAAACAAAATCTGAACTACTACAAAATGTAGCATGGGTATTTAAAATACTGCTTTCAAGTCAGCCTGTTGGGAAACTGAATTCTGCAGTCCTTTTATCAAAGACTGGTCCTGATTAAGATGCTTTCTTGATGTATAGGAGTACACAGTACACATCATACATGCTGCCTACACAGGCAGCATGTATGATGTTTGGCTTTGGAAACAGCTCAGATCTGCAATGCGTGTAGTCCCATTATTTCTAACCGCTTGCAACTACGTGCAGCTTGTGTTAAAATGACACTGAGGCAGCAAAAACACATGGGCAGGCAGTCTGTTTAGAACAGCATACTGTTCTCCCTTGTAAAAATATTTTTACTATAATTTTGAAGTTTGTTGTGCATTGGCCAAGGGAAATAGAATGCTAAGCAAGTATCTTAACTGTTTCTTCAAGCTAGTTCCTTTAGTTTTTAGTGTATTCCACCAATGTATTTTCGTAATCCTTTGAAATAGGGTGTTTCCATAATGCATTCTGAGATCTTAAATTAGTGGTGATGGATTTGTAGGTTGCTGACTACTATGTAATCTTGTCTTAAAGTTCAGTCTGAAACTTGCTAAATTCTACAGTCCAGAAAAATCTTGCACACTTCCTCTGTATCTTACCTTTTGCTAGGCGTTTAATATTTTTCAAAATGTATGCAAAGATAGTGCCTGTAGATCATATGAAAAATATTGCCATACAACTTGCTGCTGCCTCTTCAGTTAAAGAAACTGAGGCATGAAGAGGATGTGCATCACGTAGTGTCATCAGTAAGTTAATAAGAGGTTCAGGAATTGCGCATCCACATCCAAACCGATCCCTAACAACTCTTAGCTGTTCCGGGGTGTTCCCCGAGCAAATGATCCTTCCTATGCATAGGCCTATACATAAGAGGCCCAGAAGGGAAAGGAAAAGCTTTATTTGTTTTCCCTTCAAGATATATGTGGGGTGTGACTGCTATTCAGTAGCTTTAACGCCAGAAAACACTGCAGAAATGGCTTGGAATTTAAAATAGGGCTGCCGATGTGCGTCTTCCCCTCTTGACTGCGGTGGGCTTCCTGGCAGGATATGCCCGCTCCAGCGGCCGCAGCAGTGGCGTTCCTCGCAATGGCACCAGCCCAGGCCCAAGCTGTCTTGCACACCTGCTAGTGTGAACACTGTGTACTGAAACCCACTTGGCAGCTTTCCTTTCTGCAAAAGAACACTGGGTGCTGCTGCATTACCCAGGTGAGGCTGGGCGTGGACCTGCCTGACACCCAAGTTAGCCTTCGGAGGCCCAGGTTGAGATGACTTCTGTTCTTTACTGTCTCATTTCAAACCTCTGAGCTAGCTGTGCTTGTTGGCACCCAGCAGAACGTATTGGCATCTTTTCATTCCCTTCTAATATTTGAAGGTTAGAGAAGGTACGGCAAGAAGTGCGTTGCATTATGTGATGCTGCTACGCATAAACTACTAAAATATCAAGGGTGTCTTAACCTGCAGGCTATTTGCCTTGTAAGGAAGTGTGGTTTTTAGTGCTTCCCCTTCTGATGTCTGAGTGGTCTTGGGGATGGCTTTGAAGGCTTGCATTAAAAGAAGGTACTGATCTAAACTGTATGTTGTGGAGAACATAATTGGGGAGAACTGGATATTCAACACAGAGTGATTTTTGGAATATTGGCAGTCTTGCTGTGTGAATTATGTCTAGCTTCTAAGCCCTCCTGGTGTCTGAAAATGTGCAGAAAAATGACTTCTTTTTTTGTCAATATTTGTGCAATTCAGAGTAAAAATTATTCGTGTTCTGGCAACTAACTAAATGCGTATTGTGCACCTAAGCTCTTAGACTTTAAGTCTGTTGCTAAAGGATTAACAAAGGAGTCTAGTATGTACTATATAGCTGTATAAAAAACCCCCACAGTGTGTGTATACAGATACATACATATACACATACATATATCTATCTATATACATATAAAAACTTTTCTTCTCTGCACCAAGTTTGTGCATCTCCTCTGTGCAGTAGCTGGAGCAGCTTCCAGAGCGGCCTTTTGAACACTCCTGAAGCAGGGAAGCTCCTGTCCCTGCAGACCTTTCCTCTGCAAGCTGAAAGGATGAGCTCGAGGAGAAGTAGCCAACAGGTTCTCTTAAACAACGTGTCAGTAGTACTCAAACTCAAATCCAGAATGTTTTTGTCCCCTCTAGGCTCATGTAAAGCAGAGTATCTAGTATCCATCCCATTGAAGTAGGCGTAGGCAAAAACCGTTAAGTTGAAAGGTGGGAGTATGGAAGATGAACGTTTGAATGGGTCCTCCTGCCATCTTACACTAAGCCTTTTGCGAACGTATTTGACCTGTAGTTTAGCTCTTGCTAAAGCACTGGTGTGGAAGCGCGCTCTCTCTCTCTCTCAAGCAAATGCCGTATGTTTTTTAATTGTTATTAGCTTGTGTCGTGCATGAACCAGTCTCTCCCCGGCGAGCCTCAACAGTCTGCGTTTGAAGGAAATGTGCAGATTCAGACTGAATTCGAGCAGTGCCATCTACTGTCACGCTGTAATACTGATTTGTAAGGGGGGATGGCTTTTCTAGACCAAACGTTTGAGTTCATTCCTTGGAGTTACCTTTATAGCAAAGGAAAAACAGTTTATAACAGTGCAGGATAAACCCATCTGAGCCATATTTTTAGCGGTGATTGTGGCAGTGTGACCTAACACAATGTGTGGGAGCAATGCACTCAGGTGTGAATTACAAAAAGCAAGAATCGTCATCTCTGCTTTGGGCAAGGTATTGAAAGAATCTACACCACGTATCAATTGACGTGGCTATTTTTACTTTTAATGAAAACCGTTTGAAATAGAAGATGGCGTCTCTATAATGTTGTTTTCTTTTTGCTTTCATAAAATAATTTTTGTGCATCAACATCCTTTAGTTTCTCAGTAAGATATGCTAGC